CATCTATTTTAAATATAGGGACTTTAGCTAGGGAGATAGCTGGGTGGTCTAAGTGCCTGCCTGGCAAGTGCAAGGACCTGGGTTCAATCCCTGGCACCACATACCATGCTGGCCTCAGAACCCTGGGTGCGGCATGCCAACCACCAAAACTGGGTGTAGTGGCATATGCCTGTAATCCTAGCACTGGAGAGGCTGAAAAGGGAGGATCACTAGGAGTCAAAACTGCATAGCGAGACCCTGTACCAAATAAATAAATAAATAAATGAATAAATAGACTTAAAGATTTCTAAATAAATAGTGGATAATTTGGCAAGTAGGGGTAGCTTTTAAAACAAAACAAAACAAAGGACAAGAGGACCAGAGAAGCCAGGAGTGGAGGCACATGCCTGTAATCCCAACACTTAGGAGGCTGAGGCAGGCTGATCGCTAGGAGTTTAAGGCCAGTCTAGGCTACATAAGCAAGTTCATGGCCAGTCTGCATTACAAAGTGAGACACTGTCTCAAACAGAAAAACAAATAAAAATAAAACAAGAGCATTAGAGCAATGGTTATGGAATTTCAAAGATAAATATGACTAGGTGGGGTTGAAAGGTACATAGGGCTTTGAACATATGGAGAGTTTAGAGGTAAAGGGAACAATATGAGCAAAGGCAAGAAGGTTGGAAACTCCTGTGTGTGTGTTGCCTTTTCTTTCCATCATGGCATGTCCAGGGGTCCAGAAAAGGCCTGGGTTGGGTTGCTCTACCCCTAACTTGCTGGCTCAGATTCCTTATAGGTGATAGTATTCCTTGGGAAACTGGGGTCCTGAGTTCCAGTCCTACCCCTGGGCATACTGCCATGTGTGAAGTGGAGCAAATTTCTTCTCTTCTTTGGCCTGTGTCTTCTTGTGTACAACGAGGACCAAGTGATTTCCCAGGTCCTGCAGCTCTGACACCCTTGGATACCTGATGTCATCTTTTCCACTTGTGTTTTTAATTAGCACCCCCTGCTCTGGTGGCTCCAGACCTCCCGTGAAGAAACAGGACACAGAGCTTTCCCCAAATCCATCCTTTTCCTGGAGTTCAGTCTCCAACCAGGAAATGGGGTAGCAGGATTTCCTCTGAGGATGTTCTCTGCGACCCAGACAGCTGGGGTTAGGGGAGTGGAAGGAAGAGATAGGGAGAATCTCCCAGGCCTCAACAGGCCTCCAACTTTTTCATACATTGTATGTTTTCCTTTCACTCAGACGTGAGCTCCTTAAAAGCAGGGAATATATAATTTAGAGCTGGAGAAAGATGTGCTGGTATTTCAAACACATGAATGATTATTTAACAGTTTGGTGACAAGAACAAATTCTCTTCATCATTATTTTGAAAGCAGGGAAATCTTTTCTTCACATGTACCTGTAGAAACCCTTCAAGTTGTTCCACGGCTCAAGTCTAAAGCACTCTCTTGCAGCAAGCAAGGCTTTCTTTCCTCTAAACTGTCACACATTCTTTTGTTGCCATTGTGTGTGTGTGTGTGTGTGTGTGTGTGTGTGTGTGTGTGTGTGTTTTACTGGACATTGAATCCAGAGCCTTAGGCTGGACAAGTGCTCTGTCATTAACTGTACCAGTGCCTTTATATTTCTAGAACTATCATTTCATGCAAACACATATCAGAGATGCACAGGGTAACCTTTCACTACAAAAACTGGGAAACCAGCCAGATACTGTGACACGCTTTTACAATCCCATGTTTTTGGGAAGCTGAGAGCAGAGGATCGCAAGTTTGAGGCAGACCTGGGAAATTTAGTGAAACTATCTGAAAATTTTAAAAAAGGGCTGGCACTCAGTTTAGTGGTAGAGCATCTCTGGGTTTAGTCCCCAGTACTGCAAAACCAAATTAAACCAAACCAACAAAAAAGCAAAATTTGGGAAGCCAAATCTGGGATCTGTCCAGTGTCTCAGAGGTTAGGACAGAACTCCAATTGTTACTGACTCCTAATTCAGGTATTATTTCTGCTTTTCTCTTTCTTACCCTTAGTCTCGTGCCCCAATCTCCCTCCCAGTGCTATATTTGTTCACATTTCCAAGCCTGTACAAAGGTTGTTCTCTCTTCAGAAACATCCCTCCTGCTCTTTCCTATTGCTCAATCTGGAAAAATATCACCATCCTTCTAGAACATTCTTAGAATAACTGTTCTCCCAGCTTTTCTTATATTCTGACTATTGCTAGTGTTGGCATGTCCCTCCCCTATTAGACTGAGTTCCTACAAGGCGTGGTTGTTTTATCTCTCATCTGTGCTCTGTCCAGCTTGGTGTCCAGCAGGACCAACATGACACACCCAAACAACTAAGCATAAGAAGGGGGCTGGCATGGATGGAATGGAGAGGGAGTGGCCACTACCAGAAGTTGTGGAGGAACGCTAGGTTGGTGGTACCTTGGTTGTTAGTTACATGTGTGACTTTGCGCCCTTTTACTTTGGGTCTGTTTTGCCACCTGTGGAGTCAATTATGCCTGCCATACCAGTCAGTAGGGCTTTTGAAATGTGCGAAGCAATCTAAAAATGCAAAACATTACCATGAAATTCATAAAGGTCTCTCAGTTAATCCAGGGGGCTAGGAAATGTCCTCCTTGTGAGGACACAAACACTTTTTCATGAGGCATTCCTAGAAAACAGGGCAGACACATTGTTCCTATATTTCTGCGAGCTCTTAAGTAGATTCAGTACTAGCTCGCTGCTCTGTAGTCACTGATGGGAATGCTTTATCCTTAACAGAGCTGAGGTTGCCTCCTTCAGGCCGCAGGAGTGAATAATAGAGGTTTCTGCTCTTGGATGACAGGTAAGGGATTGTTTTCTGAAAGAAAAAAGTGAGACAGCCGGGAGGACAGTGCAGTATTTGAAGACCACAGACTATAGTACTTGAAATCACCCGTTCAGCTCTCAGTTCTGGGTGCATTTCAGGAAGCTCTTCTGGATTCCTCCAGCCGCAGAGACTTGCTTAGTGGTTCAAGACCAGGTACTGTGAAGTTACACTTGCTCTAGAATCTCTAGAAGCTCATCACTTCCTATTCCACTTGAAGCAATACTCTTCATCTTATTAACAGTACTCCACGGATGACATGAATTCAGAGAAATGTCACTTGAGAGGCAGATTTTTCAAACCCAATTTTCTCAGTATTGATGCTTTTCCCAAAAATGCCTAAAGAGCAAATAACTTCTCACAGTAAAACACTATTCTCAGATAACTTTCTACAGTAGACTCTATGTTGGTATTCTCTCTCTCTCTCTCTGAGGGAAAGGTTTATTTAGCTCAGCTTCTGGAGGTCTCAGTCCATACTCATTCAAGGCAGGGTGGCATGCTGCAAGAGCAACAGTTCATGCTAGCAGAAAAACAGCAAAAGCAACAAGAGCAAAAGGATTTGTATCTGTGTATTCAAAATGGTTAGGATATATAGTTACATTCTCTTAATAGAGGGATTTGTTCTAATAGTGCTTGTAAATAGGATATCATGTCTGCATCTTGTACAGCAAATAACCACTAGAAAGAGAGTATGCAATGTGTTAATTATTGGAAATGTCCTATCAATTTTATTTGAAACTGTCTCATTGCTATTTGTTTCTCAATAAAATTATGGGGGAAAAAAAGAGCAAAAGGAACACAAAGGAAGAGCTGCTTCTTCTCTCTTAACATATTTTATCAAATTAATCTGCAAACTAAATTCAGTCTCCAAATCTGCTTTAATGACTTATCAGAGGCCTTAAATTAGATATGGTAACAAGTGACTGGATAAAATTCAGCCTAAAAAGGCACAGGTTCAGTTTTTATTGCTTAGTTTCTTGATTAGTATAAAACCTACAGGATTCCTAGCAATCAACACAACTTACAAAGCTGTCAGTTTCCTAATATTCTGTTCTTTCAATAGGGTACCCACCATATGTACTTTCTGGATTCAACACTGACGGAGGGCTGGTTAAAACTGGAGAACACTTGAAAGCAGTATAAACAACTCTGTTTTACTACCATGAAACATGCAAGTCGATTATTATGCTATTGTTAAAGTTACTAATGTTGTAAACAATGCAAATGAAAACATAAAGACATCACCATTGCCATTTATGTGGCTTAATTTTATGAAACTTCAACAGGGAACAATTTAGGGAAAGATGCACTAACTGGTCCCTGGCTGCGTGCCATTAAGCGTGGGCTTGCGAACTATAAATTGTTTCATCATGTTAGTGTCTCAAAAAAGCCACAGCAATCCTGTAGAAGTATTTAAAGGTGTATTTCTTTCCATTTACACCTTCAACAGTATGTTGTGAACCTTCAACATATGGCAGTCACTTATTAGCTTCCACCCAAAAGTGTTCTCTCTCAAGTGAATGGAAGCTTTTTCATATACATTAAAAAGGAACAATTTGAAAAATTTTGTATAGTGGGGAGAGAATTATTGATACACCCAAAAGTTGGAGGTATCTGAGGACATTATGCTCAGTAAAAACCCAGTTTCAAAAAGTTATACAATGTATAGTTCTATGAATATAACATTCTCAAAATGACAAGAGTTTTACAAATACAGAACAGATCACTGGTTGTCAGAAGTAAAGACTAGAGAAAGGGTGTATTTCAAAAGGGAAACAATGGTTTATAAAAATTTGTAAGTTAAACAATAGAGCTGTATACCAGAAAGTTGATAAATGGGTGTGCATGAAAACTTGTGGCCTGGGGTATATAGCTCAGTGCAGAACACATGCTTGCCACACACGAGATCCTGGTTTTGACTCACAGTACCCCCTAACTTAATGTAATCGGAAAGGTCTGTAGGTTAGTTATTAGTATTGAACCCAATGCATATTTCTTGGTTTTGGTAATGCATAAGATGATTCTGTGGAGGGGGACAATGGATAAAGCGTGTACCTCTTTTATTTTTGTGTCTTTGTGGAAGCAAAAAAAAAAAAAAAAAGTAGAGAAAGATAAACTATTAGTAGAGGACAAAGAAACAGTCTAGACATTTTTATTAAGTCTTACTAAGAATATGAAGACATTTGAAAATCACAAAGTCTATAAAACACTGATACGCAATAATTTTCTTATTGTGACAGCTAGTGCTATATGTTAAGATGCTAAACATCAACCCAACAAACTGCCAAGTCTTCCAGAATTTACTAACGCATCTTAATTAAAAGGAACTATATCTCTTGCATAAAAGATCTTGAGTTATTTTTTAAAAAATAACTTCTTCTTTAAGCTCAAGAAAGGTTGATTTTGCTAATCCAGCTTGAGTCACAACAGCTCTATGTTCTTTCACTGATTGGGTCGATGCAGAGACGCTACCTGCTACAAAAAGGGACTTTGTGAAATACACAGCGTAAGACAGTAGTGCAGTCTGAACAGTGTCTGTTTTCCTAAGTATGCTGAAATAGCTGATCTTAGTTTTTGGTGTTTTTTAAGGTGTCAGTGATGCTGAAAACCTTTATTTAAACAAGGTGGCCTTCCACTAGCTTGCCAGCCCACAGATAAGATGCTAGTGCCGGTACCGAGAAGCAGACTGACTCCCAAAAAGGGCTCCGGCTTCTCTAAGTACCTTCAGGACACACCCAGACACACCCTGTATCAGAAAGGAGGGAGTTAAGTCTTAAAATAATTTGGGCAACTGTCTGAGACGCTTTACATCTAAAAAGGTACCTACTGAGTTCATACTATTCATTTGCTTTAATGTTTCAGAAGGTTGTAAACTTTCAGGAAAAATTGGAATGTCCCTTTCATTTTCTTTCTCAGGATGTTGAGTAAACTCTGCCTTTCCAGTTCGGAGGTTCATTGCAGGAGTTGGTTTAGGGCTCCTTAATAAAGGTGGATTTTCATTCAACCTCTGTGCTACTTTTGACTGCACAACTTCATTTGTAATATTTCTCAGTACTGGCATCTCTGTGTGTTTGTCCCCAGATTCACAGGTATTCCCAGAAGGGTCTTTCTGACAACCAGGTTGTGCAGATACAGTTGTAGAGTTTTGATTTAACAAACAGTCGCTCTTGCGATCTGCATGGCTGGGAGGCTCCTCTTCATCCTCACTGTTGTCACTGCTCTGTATGAGTCCGTATCTCTGCATGTATTTTTTAGTAGCAAATGACATGTTGCTTGGTGAAACCAAGTTAAGCCCCATTGTGCTTCTGTCTGTATTGACATGCAGAAGGCTAAAAGATGAATCAGCATTATTTTGGTTTGATTGAGTGAGAGAGAGTTGTGACAGCTGATTTTCATTTAAATATTTCAGCGCTATAGCATTTGCCTCCATGCTCAAATCCACACCAGTGGGGCTTAAACCACTCATGCCAACATTAGCAAATGACATGTAGTTTAATCCAGAGATCACTGCTTCTGGGCTGATGCACGCCAACACACTAAAAGACACAAAAGTGTAAACCATCATTTACCTTAAGTAACAGTTTCATTCTAAATAAGTAACCAAAGACTTCAGGCTTACGCTCCTGTGCCTTTATCTGAGTACTAGATATGATCTAGACACAGGATATGTATAATTTCCTAGAAATTCATGACCCACAGATTGAAAGTAGAACACAAACTAATTATACTAAATTTATGTATGTCATGATTTTAAGAACAAAACAAACCTCCAGATGTAAGAATCTCATTCAATACTGCTGTGTATTATTTTTATAGTATAATTTATAATACACACTTGTATTTAAATAAGGGCAAAGCAATCTTCAATAAAACAATTTCGCAGGGAAGGAGCAAGGAGGAGACAGAGAGGAGGGGGAAGGACTAAGAGAAATAGCCCTAAAGGAGTTAAACTGAGGAATTTGGGGGTGTGAGAACTTTATTTACTTACTTATTTATTTGTGTGTGTGTGTGTGTGTGTGTGTGTGTGTGTGCCCAGCTCAGCCCACCAGGGGGCGGGTCTGGCTGGCATGTGGTGCTGGGGGATTGAACGGTGGTCCCTG